AGGGGAGGAAGAGAAATACCTGGCCATTGTCTCGGGGTGTAATTAATTTCCCGTAGTCGTTTCGAATCGTCGTTGCAAAGTTCCCCGGGGCCGCGGCACAATAAAACCGGAGGGAAATTAATCAAACGCGCAAAACAGATTCCGCCACGGCTCGATTCATTTCCTACCCTTCCTCGCGACGCCCGTTTTATCGTCCACGATGACGAGGATCGGCGCGCCGTGTTTCGAGGCGTGTTAAGGGCAACAGTGTTCGAAGTCGGGAAACCGGAAACGCGCACGGGGCAAGGGGCGGCGGAATAATGAGGCGTATGAAACGCGGGCGAATATCGTCGACGCGTTTCTGGCAACCGGGACATATCGAGCTTTTGCCTCTCTCTCCGCAGCCCGGCCGTGGACCCGCTGAAACTAGTCCCGCGCGACGTGTATCGCGCGCAAGAAGTCGTGAAATTTACTGCTTTCCGTGAAATCTAATGCGGTCCTGTCACGGCACACCCGCAAAGTATTTTACCTCCCTTGACGCGTCATCGATTCACAACGCGGCGAGCCGGTTCGTTCGAACGCGTTCGATCGTAAAAAAACGGGATGGTTACGCGGCGTTTTCCGCACCGACCGACTCACTCCGGGGCCAAAGGAATTTGTCCGCTGACGCCTCGCTGGGCGGAAATGCGTGGAATTACTTCAGGGTGAGACGCTTTCGACGCAGAGTTTCTTGAATATCTTATTTCGGAGCGTCTTTGCCTATTGACGTTTCAGTGGTCGGATGACGTGTCTTGAAAGATGGAGTACGTCGTTTTGGAGTTGTCCTACCGACGTGTCGACTTTTATTGCTCATGGTTTTTGGGAATGTTATTCTTATGTGGTTTTTAAATGTAATTGTTTATTGCTGACCGAGATTTATCGGAAATAAACTTACGGAACGTCACGGAATAGATTTTTCGAATGTTTTAATAGTAACATTTGTTCATCTCTGCGATTATCAAATATTCAGATAAAAATTTTGTGCTTGCCAAATTTTTTGTTTTTGGAAGTTATGAATATACTGGTAAAACTTCAGTAACTTTTGTTTCAACTAAAAGTTATATTTTTATATTGAATATGTTAACATTTAATTATTTTCTGAGCTGTTTTTTAAAATTCGAAGGTAAATTCAGAATATGTGAAGCGAGAAGTTACGTTGTTCTGAGAGGACGTCCAATTTCTTTTGGAATAACTGTAAAATAGAGAATCGGAAGAGACTGCGGTAACAGATATGGAATCTTATTAGGAATCCCCAAGAAAAATTTTAAGTGAATTGGTCCAACGTAACTGGAATTTCCACTGTAAGAGTAACTTTGAGAAAAAAAAGGATTTACAGTTTCACTTTCCATCTTCTGTTAAATAAGATGCTAGATAAATGCTCTTGTTACTTCATCGGAAATTGTTCCTAACTAATTATTGCATGGCTGACGCATTCATCAATTTAATTCTAACCAAGTCGTTAAGAAGTTTCATTCGCCTGTTTAAAAGTTAACGCGTTTAAATCGAGAAAAATGTTCTTTGGTTAAAACGATCGTTCACGCCATCCTCTGCATTTACCTTTTTTTTTAAGCGATTCCATTCCTTATGCTTAAAATACGACACACTGTGAAGCTCTCTGCAAAGGCACTTATTGAAAAAATATACTTAAAAGGAAGTTCCTCGTTTACCTTTTATAGTTTACATATTCGAATGGAATAAATAATTTCCGCATCGATTCTAGCGTTCAAACAATAAAGCTGAATATTGCGCGTAAAAAAGAATTTCATATGAAAACGATATTATGTACAAACAAACGAACATATCATGCATGAAATCACATTTACCTGATAAATAATACGACTGCTTACAAGATGTTACTAGCCATAATAGAGTCTTCAATTGAATTATTCAGCAGGTATTATTTGACAATTATATAATGGCGTCCTCGCGGCAAAATCATGATCTTGTATATCGTGTAATTGAACTAAGCAAAACGGATCGAACCAAGGAGGAGACAAAACTATGAGATCCACGGAGAGATTGCGGAGTTATGGGCGTGTTCCGTGTATTCATAGCCTACTCCTGTTCTTCCTTGGTGACAATGAATTAATTTCGGTCTCGGCCTCCGCTTACACAGTACTTCCGTCGTGGATTATCTATTCCTAAAGTGTCTCGTAATTTCTCAACCGGGAAAGCGACGGAGACTACCAAGTGCTCACGATAGGAGCACTCCTCGGATAACGTTAATAATGATCGTTGCTCCTTTCTTAGGAGGCATTATGGTTGCTCCTTTACGAAGGCAATACCATTGTGGGTTACAATTTCCTTGTATCCGTGGCATGTAAAATTGTACCAAATCCCAGTTTCGAACTACATTTTCACATATAAATTTACACAAGGTGAGTCACTTAAGAAAAGGTACCTGAATAACTTCTACATTTTTTGAGATGGGAAGAAATGTTTCAGACGAAAGTTATTTGGTTTCGAGGGACTCATTGCGTGGTGTATATAACTTTTTTTAGGTGGAGGTGCTCACGAGATTTGATGATTTATTCGTTTTAAACGAATCCACATATTTTTGAACTCCTACGATTGTAGTTCTTCTCGAAACAATTTCAACGACTCTAGGCATTTAAGATCATTCAAGATCATAGACTTTAAGTTATTTCTATATAACTTATTTTAAACTGAACATTTTGGTACAAGAGCAATAAGAGTTTTTCGCTGTGTGCTTTGTTTATAGTTTCAATTGGTTACGTGTGATTATATTGATATATAGCAAATTAGAATCAAAGATGAGATAAAAGCTAACCAATTAAGCTGCACCAGTATAGAAAAAGATGACACACTTATTTGTGTTTTTTGTTCATAAAATTATTAATGTTTATTGTTTATTTATATAAGTTAACTATTAAATATACTCAACTAGTAATTTTGATTTTGTACAAATTAAGATTTCGTATTTCTATATGATTTTACATGAGTATTCCGTTCTGCCATTCCATTTGTGCGAAGCGAATATTTCAATACCTTTAGAAAATCGTATTTCTCTTCATAACTAAATATTTTTATTAAAAAAACTTTTATTTCTTTGTAGCAAAAGATGTACTTACGACTAAGAAAGATTTCATGAGTCTAGTTCTCCAGATACTTTGTTATTACGATTAAAAAAAAAGCGTTCCATTTTTTTTTACTTTCCCCAACCTAGTTTCTTCCGCGCGAAGGACACTAAGAAACGAAAGTGCCGACGTATCTCGCGTTTAATCTCATTCCGCATTCCCGCGACGATCTGCAACGCGTGATTGACGTTGTTATCGATCCCGTGGAATCACGCGAGTAGTTTCGGGAACGCAGATCCTAGGCTGGAGCAACGTGCGAGCGCGGTTAGAAAATCTCATGCGGCATACCTAGGCAACGTGACGGACGGGAAGAAGGTCGTAATGCCGTGGACTTACGATAGGTTGGCCTGGGTATCATACTCCAGACGGCCTTGAATCCCTTGCCCTCGATGCTATCGTCACTGGAGAATCGCAGCCAGAGGTATCTCGTCTTCGACGTGATCTCAGGGGGGAAATTCGTGCCGCAGAAGTTGCCGAGGAGATTGGAGTAGCCGTGCTGCCCGTCACGTACCTCGAGGAAATCGTAACGGCAGTCGGTGCTCTCCTCGAGCTTAAATTCGTCTCGAAAGTCGAGTTTCAGCAGCATACCTTTGTCAGCTGGAACGAAAGATGAAACGTGGCGTTAAGGATGGATCGTTATAACATCGGCGACGATTTTTGCGTTACTTCGAGCTGGGCAACAGTTTTGTTCTTCCGCACGATTAGTCATGATTTCGAAAGGAAAATTTGCAAAGCTGTTTTTTGCTTTTCGAACGTGATTAGGTTCAAACTTTAGAGGCTGGTGAATAGGAAAAGACAATGGTAGAATAAGAAACGACTTTGATTTATTATTTTATTGAAACGGTTTACAAATTTTAAAATATCTATTAACTTTGTTTGGTGAATTGGATATGTGATTTTGTACATGTATCCTTTTCTCAGTTATCACTCGTGACTTTGAAAATTTGCAAGGATTTTCTTTGCTTTTTGGATATAATTAGGCTCAAATTGTAGGAGTTGATGAATAGGAAAAGGAAAATGGTTGAATAAGAGGCGCGTTGGACCTATTACTTTTATAAAAAGGGTTTACAAATCTTAAAAGTGTTATGAATTTTATTTGATGAACTGAATGTGTGAACTGTATGTGTATGATACATATTTTAGTATGTTTTTGGCATCAAGATATTTTTCCAGCAATGTATAAAGACATTTGGCACGAGCAGATACAGTGTATAGGCGACAAATAGGCTTACAGAACAGCATATAAGGCAGAGGGATATTCTGTTCGCCCCATTTAATGTCACTATATACTTAGATTTTGTCTGAGGTTCTTAATTTTCGTAATAAACTGAAAAATATCTGCTATGAATCTTACTTGACGAGCGTTTTGTTTTTACAAAAGTTGTTTAACATGTTTCAGTATTCGTAATGTTATAAAAATATGTTTTTTATCTAAGTAAGTTCGGAGAATCATTTCTTACAGTAAAGTTTGTATAGTTTCGGAAGTTAATGCACAAACAATTTTTGAAGTTGAAAATTAATTTTTTCATGTTTACATTTTTGAGACACCTAATTATAATACAGTAAAGTAGTTTGGAATAAGGTGCACAATGAATGAAACGAAAATCTACAAAAATCACTTACTAAATGTTGGAGAAGGTAAGAAACGTGAACATTTGTTGGACAGTGGTTTGTGTCAACCATATCCACATTTCACAAGCTTTTTCGTAATGTACACACGAAATACAAGATTATACGCCGACATTCACTTCTCTTCATTCTCCATTTTGTATGCATGGTATTGAAATAAGAAAAAACTAACCTGCGTAAAGCTGAAAGATATTTATGACAAATGAAATTGTCCGGACAACGTGCATATTCATATATGCATGTCACAGTTTTACTTTTGTGTACATTGTATATTTATCACGCGTATACACATTTTCCTATGTGTATAGAATGTCCAACAGGTTTTCATCTAAAGTTTGCAACTATGTTTCACAGCAGAAACGAAAAATGAAATATAACAAAAAGTTTGTACGCGTTTAACAAAAAAGTTATGAGTAGAACATGAAACACGAAGAATAAAACACAGCACTCTCTTTTTCCCTCTTACAGTTAATTGATCATTTTAATTTCATTAATTGTTGATACAAGATAAACATATTTCATTTATATTGACACTGCTCGATGAGATTCAAAATCTCACGTTGCAATACGAAGTTAATTTGGATTTTCTACTGCTCAATTAATGAAATAAAGGTCTATATAATAATGTAATTGATGAAATGAGCTAATTAGGACAATTATAATTACGGTTGTTGAAATTAAATGAAATGCAATTTCACGTAATTATCGAACTCCGTGGAGTGAAGAACGTGTTTGTTGTAATATTTTAAGAAATATAAATAATTTACCGAATAATAGAGAATTAAAATGATATATTGTTAAACAGATTATTTATTGTAAGTTTGCAATTCTTCATAAATATATCAGTTTATCTGGTAATTTATTATACCTATTAACCGCTGCTGCTACTGCATCCAGGATAGTTTTATTACTTTTCTTATGGGTAGGTGGTGCAGTACTCTGTTCCTCCTCCGCCTATACGCTTCTTTCCATGTGGGCTTTTCGTTATGTGGGCATCACTATTGGTGAATCGGCAACTTTGGACACTGATATCTTAATAACGGCTTCCGCGAAAAATTTAATTTCTATAGTTTGGAAACGTCTGAAGGGCGGCTTTGAAAATATGGAATAGAAACTTAGACTTCTTATGAAGTCTTAGACTTTATGAACAACTTATAGATTTCTATTTAAGAATTGTAATATAGCCTTAGCAGGACGTTTCAACGGTCTGGAACTGTCACAGTTGTCTAACATATCTTTTAACGTATCGTTGATAATTTTCGAGATAATTCGAAATTAATTTGTATTATTTATTAATTTAATTTTAAACAAAACCTATTTTTATCTCGGACACCGTTAAAATTTCAACCAATGTGTAAGATCAGAATTTTGATCTAACCTTCGTTATTTTACGAATTATTTTTAAGCTATTGAAGAACGAAATGTAAATCTGTAAGCGTAAATAAAAGGAAATTGTGTGGATTGGAAAATACTTTAATACGATATTGTCGCCTCGGTGGTTACAAATGAAAGGTTGAAAAGGGCACTATTTAATCGCAGGACTTGCCTTATTAACGTAGTTCTCGCTCAGTTTAATGCACCGCAAAACTTGAGAACGCTTTACCTTAACACATTGTTGACCGATCACGAATTAACTCGTGTTTGCACTTGCATTAGCCATTTTAATTTTTGAAACGCAGGGCAATATAGAATATTCAAAAGCAAAATATTCAAAGTTATATAAAAGATATGTTCAAAGTTTAATTTCAATTCATTATGTATAAATAAAGTATATTCAAGTTTATTTACATCGTCTCACTAGCTTATTTAATTACGGAATAATGATAATGATAACCGATGGCGTGGGATAGCTTCTGCGTCAAATTTCCGGTCAACAATGTGTTAAGACGATACGCATTGACGGAATTACGGTTTTTTTTTAAACTCAGTTTAGTAAGTCAAACTCCCTATTGAATGGGTAACGTAACGGTGAACGTGTTAAACAGTACCGAGGTTTACAAAAGGTAAGCGTAAAATATATTAGGACAATACTTCTTCTGATAGAAAGATAAATGTTTTAACGTTAATTTCGGATCGTGCCGCGTGATACATTAAATGTTGAAACAATTAGCATTCCAAGCGCTTCGGTTCGGCACAGAGAAAACACCGCAGCACACGGGAAACACATTGTTCGGATCCCTGCGCAAGAATCTGCTCCCGATCGGTCGGGTTACACGACAAATATTCTAATGTCGTTACCCCGAAACTCGCTCTGGCTCTCAGCCAGGTTATTCGTTGTAGTCGTCGCACATTTTTTTTTTGGTTCGTTCTCTCTAAAGCACGCGGGTCAGCATACGGGTCGCCTGTACTTTTCCATACGGGCTCACTCAAGTACAAAAAAATAGTCTGATTCAATTACTTCTATTTCTGCATACTTATGTACACTAATAATCAGAATCTGACCAAACTACTAATGTTTAAGCTAATTAACAATGTTAAACGTGAATTTCTTAAAGAGACTATTAGGTCAACGTTAATTTCTTGTATTAACGGCTCAATTGTCTTCAAAGCAACAACGTATTCATTAAAAATTATTAACATAATGTGGTTTTATACGACAGATACGTCTCGTGTAAGAAAATATACTGTATCTATAGAAAAATAGAGATTAGCTCCAGACCTAAGAAACTATCGAAATAATACAATAAGGCATATGAGAATTCATGTTAGAATTTGAGTGATCACATTAAATCAAACCAAATTGTGCAAAAAGGAAATAAATTTTGTTTAATTCGCGTTAAATCAAACAAACCATGTAAAAAAAGAATATAATTCACGTTAAATCAACATCGTGTGAAAACAGAATTGATGTATTTAAAATGCAGTAGATAATTGCCCTTGTACATACAATTTTTTCGGAACAATATACTTGACAATGTCAAAGAATTCATTGGATATAATCCTGATGAAAATAATTTTCACATTTGACAAGAAATGAACGAATCAAAGATCATTTTAAGACATGTCATAATACACATTCAAATACATTTCGATATCAGGCATCATCAAAACAGAAAACTATCCATTTACACGTAGAAAGCTATTTTACTACATTAAACGATCCAAAATTTATGTATTCACTTCGCAAGAGGATTCAAGAAAGAAAGAAGACAAGAATACTAGTACATTTCGTTGAACGGATTATTCACGGAACGATAAAGCGTATCTTGTGCCGTCGACACGATTGTCGCGATACAGGGTTTTCCCGTTTGACAACTCAGAATCGACGTTCCCTTATCTGCCGCATAACCTTGGCTGCATGGCGGAATATGAACGCTCGATTTGCAAAAATCATGGCGTCACGTCGCGACCGCCAGCGCACCAGTGCTGGTACGCGTAAATCTGGACGATACCGCGATGCAATCTGTAATGAGGCTCTTGGGATGCAAACGGCCCTCACTTTCTCCGCACGTACGAAAATTATCCTGGAATTATTCAGCGTGAACCGATCGTTAGAATTCACTTGATCTCCAACCGCCGCGCCGCGGCGAACAAGCCGCTGATTTTTCCCGAGGGCTGCTGGAAAATCACAGACGATATTTCCGACCCATCAACGATCGTTAACCGCTTTCCCCCGGCCATCTGCCGCTGGGTATAATTACTTGTAAGGCATCGGTACTGATTGCTGAACCGAATTCGGATACAAACGTTGAAATAGCTGCAGCATTCCTAACGCTCCACTGACTGTAGCGTTTTGGGGTGCGAGCGTACAATCGGAACGGAGAACACCGCAACGATTCAGCATTACTACGGTCGAACGATTCGCAAAAAGACACTGGAAGCCCTTAATCCGATAATGATGGCAACCCTTCGGTAGCACGCTCCTGCGCGTTAATCGCTTCTCTCCTAACGATTATTGTTACTTCTGTGCGCCGATAATGATTCGATTTTGCTACCCTGTTAGACACCGTAGATATTCGGAATTACAT